GGGCGCCCCCGCCCAGTGGTTCCGCCCTCGGGCCCGGCAGGCGGTTGCGGCCGTTAGCGGCCCCACAGGCCGCCCCGGGGCTGCCGTCCCCCGCACCGGGGTTCTGGCTGAAGTCGGCCTGAAGGCTGATGGGCCCCGCCGCAGCTCCCCCGGCCGGAGCTTCGCATCGGGTCCTGTGTTCACCTGCAGCACCTCAGCTGCTGTAGCGGAAAGCCATGGAAGCAGAACAACAGCTGTTTATTAAACAGCACAACTAGGAGATAAAAATCATTAGTCTTAGCTGTTTTATTTAGAGCAACTGCTTGTTGCAGCAGCAGCAAGATGAGCCTTTCCCACTCTTCCTGCGCCACGCTTCTTGTGGAGTTCTAACTCCTGCTGTTGCAGCTTGGAATGGAAATACTATAAAAGCTGCAGAGTTAAACCTAATTTCAAACACTTATTTTCTGAAAGAAATTGTTCCAAAATCCCCTCGAGAAGATGATGGCAACTGCCGCTCTGTGAGGTTTATGCATGGCGTAGCCGTGAAGCATAGGACAAGCACCGCTGAGGTCAGGCTGGCGGCCTGGCCGGGAGGGAAGCCTCCCCGGGGAGTGCCAGGCTTGAGGCCACTGTTCACCTCCCTGCCACCCCGTGGGCCTTTTCTTTGATTAAGGCATTTCTGTAACAACTGTAACTGATTAGTATATGCTAATATCTATGCATATTGAACATGGAGTGGTGAACTTTGATTAAACACTGCTCTATGATGGGAGAAGAAAAAAAATCAGCTAAGCAATATCATTAACAGTAGAATAAATGGTATTCTTGTATCTGAGAAATTAGCATTTTGTAGCTCTAGATTTTTTCTTTTCTAACAGCTACTGCATACTTGATTTTATTCATTACAGCTTGGATGTCATGTGGCAAGCTGATTTCAAACTTGAGAAATTCTCAGAGATCATGACAGAAACCATAATCCATGATATGTATGCATTTATCCTTTCCCACTCCTTGGAAGATTATGGTTTTTTTGTTTCCCCAGTTCAGAATAGCTGGCCTCATCTATGTAGCTTTTACAGTCATGTAAATAAATATCATTTAACTTAGTCTCTTACTTCATCAATAGATACTGATAAAGTTGGGGTTGCGTTTCCTGTCAGCAAATAAGTTGCCCTGCAAACACAGTTTCTTATGCAGCGGGATGATCCCCTTTTGAGACATGAGATCACGTCAAAAAGAATCACAGTTTCTTTAGGATTCAGCATGAAAGATTATGAGCAGATTAAACACAGTAGACCCTCTTCCTCAGTTAGTAGTGTTACACAAAGCCAAAGCAAAACAATTTTAGTTTCTCTTTATGTCTTTTTGCTTCTTTCTGTCTGCTTGCTGAGTCTACCAAACACCTACCAACCCATCCTTCCAGCCCCCAAATAACTCTCCCAAAACCAAACAAAAAAATCCAACAGGCCTGGGGAAAGAAAAAGAAAAAAAAAGGAAGTACTGGATATAAAAAAATCACATACCCAGTAGAAACACCGGTTTTCTGATATTGTACAATTAACCTCGCATCCACTTCCTACAGGCCTCTCACTGTTTTACAGGCAATAATTGGGCACACTCCTCCACTCAACAGCAGCTAACAGCCTCATCTGGACCCTTGCAAACAGCTCACTCTAAACATTAGATGAAATTAGCTCATTGAGCTCAACTTCTGGGGGCTTGGGGGGTTGTTGGTTTTGGTTTTGGTTTTTTTTTCAGCTAAGCACCAGCTATTCTAACCAAAATTGATATACTTTGTCTCACTTAAAGCTTGCAGGTGTTTTGCATCTGACCAAGTGGCAATTGGCAGTTTCCAGCAATGTTAGTGAGGTCTTTTAGCCATTAGTCATTCATTTGCTTGACACGAATACACTGATTGTGATTAAATGAACCATGCTTTGATTGAAAAAGAATGCTTTCCTCTATGCTATCTAAGTGCTATTCTTAATTACTTTTTTTTCCCCCTGAGTATACCTATATCAAGATTAAAAAAACTGTCTTCACCTTTTTTCTTTCTATTGTGTTTAATGTTACCCATTAATTTTGTTACACCTCTTTCAGAAACACTTTGCGGTCTTTCTGCAGGTTATCTTTTGTTTTTTAATGTTGAATTTCCATATCCTGATAATCACATTTCTCTGTTACCAAGGTGTGCTTATTTCTGCATTATTCTCATCTCAAGCCAATTGTATTTCTATTAGGTTATTTGCAGGTTACACTCTCTGTATTATTTTATTTATTTATAGTGTGGTATTCCTAGTAGTGATTTTTTCTAGCTTGACTGACTCTTTACTGTAAGCAATTTCACATTTTCCTCTATGAAGACTGATGCTATGATTGATGCCAGAGGTGCTCTAGATTATTAGTTTATTTCTAGCAGGTGTACTCATGTGGCAAAACAGCTGCTACTGTGACTGGAGTTGGTGAAGTATGAAAAGATTTGCTCTCATCTTAGATTTACTGGCTTATATTACAAGGAAAGACTTGCTTCATATAATTACAGTAAATTACAGGAATCAGAGCTGTGATTCTGGGAGCATTCTAGATACTTCTCATCAGAGTTCAAGTCTGAGTGTGGTGTTACAGGCTGATGTCCAACGCATTCTCTTAGTGGTTTATGTAAAAGGCTCAAAGTTAGAAAGTTGTTGTTTTTCCCAACTAAGCAAGCAATCAGATATGAAATATCCTATGGAATGTTAATTAGTGACTTTTATTGCTACCAATATCAAAGTCTTCAAATAAATGGAATTTTAACTTTTTTAGTGGACGCTTCTGAGAGGAATTGATAATCCAGTCCTTGCTGGAAAATATTTTAGAAACTCCTTTTGCTTTCGATAACAGGATAAATTTGTATGGCTCTATAAAGACAGATGATTAGACTCACTGTATCTACTTTTTCACTCATTTTTGGTGATCACCAGTAGGGGCAGAAGAGCAGCCATGGTATGGTGACCAATGGCAAGCTTTTGTTGATGCAGGCAGCTGGATAACTTCCAGATACCCAACTTTAATACCCCACCCATCTTTTCAGCTGCCCCATGTCCAGCCCCCTACCTCAGGCAACCACAGTGATGATGTTTATACCATCTGGTTTTAACCATCAGAGTAGCTCAGTTAGGGTAGTAGATATGACTCTTATTTCACTACCTCTATCAAAACAAGATACAGAGGTGGAAACTACAATGTATGCAATGCAGCGCATACTGCGAGGGCAAACGAAAAAACATATGCAATATACTATTATGTGTAATACCAGATTAATTAATACTGCGAAGTGCTCTCTGTTAGAGGACATCCTTAGAAGTGGTTCTTACGCACTACCAGTATTTCCTTCCTTTAGCTGGAGAGTGAGACTGGTTAGTGGCACACAGGACTGTCAAGCTTTCCGCTACCGTTGGAGTTGGGGAAGATAATTTACGCTCCTATGGCTTGCTGAGTCAGCTTTGTTCTCATTTCTTGTGACTTCCACACTCATGCTGCCTTGCGGTGCTTTCCTCCTTGACCATCAGATGGCTCGTTTGTGAACTGCCTTCAAACTGTTCAGTTCTAATCAGTTTTGAGTAGGATGTGTGTAACAATCATCAGCTTGAAAGTGTCATATCAGGAGTCTAAGAATATTTGCTACCTGAGGGCTGTGGGGACTATAAGATGCTGATGCACCCACTGCTTCCCTGAAAACAGAAAAGCAGCAAGCGTCTTTTGAAGAAGCTAGCACAGACTTATCTGAGCAAAAAGACCTTGTACTAACTTGACCAAGTTTGGCTGAAAACCCTGTACAACTAATGAGCTGAAAAGATTTTGACAACCAGATGATTGATATTTGTCCTTCAGCAAGGTTAAAAAAGAATTGTGAGTGTCATCTAGGTGTCACTATTTTTTATGTATGTCTATATGTGCTATTTCTTCCACATTCCAGGATGATTTATCAAATTAAGCCCATAAGCTGCTAAACGTCAGCCTACTTCTATTTTGGGATATGTTATCAGTAATGTATTCTCTATTCTAAGTTATCCATAACCACTTTATGATTACAATTTTTATATTTTTCGTTGTCAAGAATACTTTGTTCTACTTACAGCTAAAACCACATACATAAGAGGAAAACAAGCATGAGTTCATTGAAGCATGAGACAACATGTGTTTCATAAAGCTAAAATTAATAAGCTATAAATCAGCATACCTACATTA